TTCTGTCTTAGTGTGCCCCTAATGCAATGGCACCCGGGTAAGGTTCTACCTGCCCACGCTCCTCCTCGGTGTCTACGTGACTTGCTATAAACCCTTTGGAGGGAGTTGAAGAAGTTTCCCTGCTGGGCTATCCTTTCTGGCACCTCTTTCTGTTTCTCCTTTCCTCCACCTAAACAGGCACTGAAGGAAGATGAGTGACTTTCAACCAGGGACGAGTACCTCGTCTCCTCTTCCCAGAGGCACCCCGTTCTCTATGAGTGATGCTTGAAAGTTCTTCTGTGGGAGAAAAAATAAAAAGTACATAAATAACAGTAGTGTTTGTGCCTGTACCAACATGCAGGACTCTGTGGTCTGCTTTGTATGTGCTCACTACTGTTTATATAGAGAGGTTTGGACCCCCCGAGAAAGGCATTTGACTCCCCATTGTCTGAACTTCGCCCTGGATACTACTCATTAGTGTTGGACAACAGGAAAAGACCTGCTTACTTTCCTGTTACAGATAGATGAAGAGGTTTCGCCACTTTCAAAGGTCTGTGCCTCCAGTGCTCTCTGTGTCGTACCCCTTCTTTCAGACTTAAACCCTTCACCTGCATTGTCAATGTTCTTCTGTATTTTGGATTATTCCCATATGTGCCCAAGTATTGGTATATGCTTAACATATACAATACTTTCCTTCCTAAAAATAAAAAAGCCTTCTGTTGACTGTACCTTCTTTATGTCTCTAACCCTGACCTCTCTGCTAAAGTTCAGACTCATACCAGCAGCTGCCTGCCTGACTTTTCTACCTGCACATTTATCGGAATCTCAACACAATCAGATGAACTTGGGATTCACTGCATCACCACCACCAACTCATCCCAGCTTCTGCTCAACTCAGCATCAGGGCAACTCCATCCATCCAGATGCTCAAACCAAAGCCTGGAAGTCACCATGGATTCCTTTTCTTTTCTTTTTCCCACACATACCATCCAATTTATTGCTGAATTCCATTGCCTCTCCTAAAAACATATCCAGTTTCTTATGACTTTTCATGTAACCTATCACAAAAGAATCCCATCTGTTGCCTGCTCCACCCTTGTTCTCCTGACAACCCATTTTCTGCAGAGAAACCAGAAAGATACTTTAAATGAAAGTCATATCTGGCTATTTTCCTGCTTAAAACATTCCAGAGGTACACTGCACTCAGAATAAAACCCCCAATTTTTACCCTGGTCTGTAAAACACCAGCTTGTCCTTATTCACTGCTGCAACCTCTACACCATGATTCCCCTGTCTGCATCTGGCACAATTCTTAAACAACTCGTATGCATTCCTGCTCTGTAGCATTTCCAGCAAGGAGTCCATCTGGCTGGAAATCTCTTATGTCTGTGTAACTGATCCATTCTCTTGTGTGTCTCCTGTTAAATGTCACTTTCTTGTAGGAAACAACCTTTACAAAACAACCAGTCTAAACAGCCTCAGTCATTTTCTAGCACCTGCACTTCCCATTGCTTATTTACTTGTATAATTACTTATTGTCTGTCTCTGATTGCTAGAAATTAAATATATTGAAAGTAAGGATTTAGATGGACTTCATCTCCACCGTATGTACTGGGCACAGAATTATGCTGAAAGCATAGTAAATTCTTAATAAATGCTTGTTGGCTGAAAGAGCAGGTCCTGCTTATGTGAGAGGAGATACAGCAACACAGATCAGCCATATGATCATTATCACCAAAACACTCTCCTCATTCTTTTTGCATTCCTTGACACTGCAGATTATTTAAACAAAAGGAACACAAACTTTGAGGTACCTTCCATCTTCAAAAATCCTAGACTATCACACTGAAAAGACAGACACTTCTATCACATACACTCTGTCACTCACCTGCAGCTCCAATTCGGACCTCATCAAAATATGCAATTAGTCCAGATTTAAGTCAGTACAAGTCAACACTGCCCAGAAGTTTTCAGGGGTGGCATATTGCTTTAGCAGGATTCTGAATGTGGAGTGTATGTAGTAAATTGATTGTAGAAGCAAGATGGTCAGAGAAATAGTTCTTATACACTGTAGAAAAATGCTCTAGTTCATAATGCCATCATTTTAAAAGAATCTTAAGCATTGGACCTTTCTCAGAGAACAATTTCAGCCTGTAAAACACTAGCATCAATACCATCTACATGCTATATTTCATACCAAATGCTGAGGAGAGTTGCCAAGTACAGGACCCTGGAGCCCAGCCAGGCTGTAGGAATCCATGTGATGTTGGGTGTGACAAAGTCCTGCTGCTGTCAGTCAGCCTACATGTAAGACAAAGTTCAGAGCAGCCGAGGGCATCCCCCTCCACCCAGAAGCAGGCAAGAGAGAACTCCAAAAACACCACTTCCATGCAGGTGATGAGCCAGACACTCGACTGCAGTGACACAAGGTGAGTCACCAGGGAGACTGGAAAAAGAAGAGGACATCTCTCTCCTCTAAACCCACTCCTGAGTAATAGAAGAAGTGACGGCTCTACCAGACATCAATGTAGAGACACTAAAAAAATGAAAACCCAGGAAATTATGACACCACCACAAGAATACAGTAATTCTTAAATACCAGAACCTACAGAGCAGGAAACCCTTGAAGTGACTGAAAAGGAATTCTGAGCAAGAATCTTAAGGAAACTCACTGAGATACAAGAAGACTCAGAGACAACATAATTAAAATGAGACAAAAATCCAGGATATGAAAGAGGAAATTTATGAAGAGATTAATACCTTAAAAAGAATGTAGCATTTTAATACAGGTGTTTACAAGTATAAATTTTCCTCTAAGCACTTCATGAGCGCAGCATCCTATATGTTGCACTTTGATTTTATCTCAAAGTACTCTCCAGTTTCCTGGTGATATTTCTTTTTACCCATTGTTTTTTTTTAGGAGAGTGTTGTTTAATTACTACACGTTTGTGAATTTTCTAAATTTCCTTCTGTGGGCAGAAAACATATTTTCTATCATCTTATTCTTTTTAAATGTATTAAGACTTGTTTTATGGCCAAAAATAAATAAATGTTAAAAAAAAAGTTCGGTGTGTGTGTGTGTGTGTGTGCGCATGCATGTGCACACACACACATACACACACTGTAAAGTAAATGGAAAATGACCTGAACTTCATCTAGCCCCAATCCCTGAATAAAAGGCCTGAGACCAGAAGATGAGTTAGAACAATTGACAATTTTACCTGATTTCTGGTAGCCCTTCCTCTAAATCAGAAGTTCATTTAACTTAGTATTTTTTCTTCACTAAAGGAATTCGAATAGATATAAAAACTATGAGGAGAAGTAAATAAGCATACTGTTAAAGTATTTCATCTAAGTCTTCATTTAACCTAACGGAAGAATTTTTGGAGAAATGTCACACTTATAAGCATACTTGACATAAAATTTTGTCTAATTTTTATGTAATATTATGGCATAAGCATTTCTAAGTTATTTTTAAACACTTCATGCTTGGCAATAACCGGTACTTATTATAAGTTGTGGTTTAAATTAATTTAATGGCTATATGTTATGAAGCTACTATGCATAAGTTACTATCACATTGCCTGGCATTTTGGTTGGTTCAAAAACTTGCATTCTTTTTCTTTGATTCTTTCCTCTATATTAGTGTTTATATCTCATGAAACACTTATTGGATGGAATCACTGAATCAAAGAGAGTAGCATAAATATAGATGAGTCTTTATTGATCTATCTCTGTCTAGTTCTCCACACATGACAAGCACTCGACACAAGGTTGTAAAAAGTCTGGATGGAATCACTGAATCAAAGAGAGTAGCATAAATATAGATGAGTCTTTGTTGATCTATCTCTGTCTAGTTCTCCACACATGACAAGCACTCGACACAAGGTTGTAAAAAGTTTAAGTAGTAAGAGAGATACACAAACTTTAAATGTGGGCTGAACCCAAGAAAATCCCGCCAAGTCCCAGCCTTCGTCAGATATCTGGACACCATCTAGACAGCCTGGAATTCTCCAATACCACCTCCATCTCAGCAGAATCTTTTCCATTGACTGACAACACAACCACCTCTCCTGCCCTATCAGCCTGTCCGTCAGCACAATGGGCCCCTGAGCAGTGGGGCTTCCCCAGCACTCTTGACAGTAGTCAGACACGACTGGGCTTGCTGGTCCTCCTGTCAAAACCACCATGCATCAGTACTGCTTTGCTGTAGACAGGTCCTAGAGAAAAGCTACCATAAAACTAGAAGCACTGAACTGGCAGATAACAGGATCAAGGTTATGGGATATGCTCCAGCCTAGAGGCAAAGCTAGAGACAGGACATGGTCAGACGGTCAGTCATCATGTGTGTGCATTGACCACACACCAGGGAGGCAGTTCAAATCCACCCCAGCCCTTTCCTGTACTACCGCCATCTTCCAGTGCAGCCTGGCCAGCCCTTCCCAGAGCTCTGCACACATGCATGCACATGCACATTGGATCCCTTCACATGCCCTCTCTCCTCTCCAAACTCCTCCATCCCTCCAGGTCTGCTTTGCAGAGTCTGCTCCAGGATGCTCACTTTCGCCACAGTCCTGTGGGCTGCTCTCCCTTCCTCTGAGCATAAGCTTCCTGCCATCCATCTCTTTGACTAGTGCATCGGGAGTTGTTACCTAAACTGCCTCAAATGTTGTATCACCCCAGCTGGGCTGCAATCTCCTGAAGCTGAGATGCTGCTCTGCCTTTCTTTTGTACCTCCACAGCCTTTAGCTTTTACTCAGGGCTATGAGCAAAGATTAATGTCCCCATTCAGACAAATGACTACAGTCATGCTTGTCAGTGATGCAGTCCTGGGGAAGGGAACTTTCTTTTTCTCCCTTTTCCCAGAGGGAGACCCTCCAGAAGAGTCACTCTTGTGGGTTCCCCACACTTCTTCCTCGCTGGGTTGTCTGACTGATGGGTGTGCAACGGTCTTGGCTACAGCAGATCTCGCCCTTTCTCTAGCTGTGGAAACCAGCGGCCTGTGGAAAGCACCTGCTGGGCTCGGCCCTATGCCAGGATTCTTAGAGAGTGACCCACCAGGAAATGGGTACATGTGCCCATTTATTCTGACTTTGTAAGTCTTTTTAATTTGGAGGTGAAATTTGAAGACGTGCACTTGGCTAACAGGCCACATTCTTCCACAGCTTTCTCCATATAAAACTGACATTTTGTTCTGTAGCTGCCTGACTCCTTCGTCTGTCTCTGATTTTTCAATTTGGGTGTAGAAAAGGAGGGTGTTGTTAATGGTACCCCTCAGAATCCATGCACAGCAACCCCAGCCAGCTCTGCACCCCCCTCTTCTTGACAAGACAACCATTGTACAGTTGTTCCCCGGTCCTACAGTCCACACAGCTGGGCACAATATCAGCACCCGACCTGGCTTCCTGCAGGAGGGTGATGAGAGTTGTCTGCAGCTGCTCCCCACAATACGAATGGAAGGTCCGGGGAAATCCTTGGGCAGTTCTTGGAAGGCTGGGGTTAGGACATTTCTCTCTAGGCCAGAGGTGGAGCTTCTCTAGTCCTCATGGTCCCTGCGTTCTTGGAAGGAGTCCCCACAGGCTTGCCAGCTCTGCCCCACTGCCAGGCTCTCCTGCTCCACTCCCAGCACAGCTGTGGGCTAGTGGCAATTAATTCTCAAGGCAGCCCAACCCATCCTGCATGTGAATGCCCACATCCTGGAGGGAATGACCTGAAGGATAGATCCCAGGAGATAGCCACGTTCCCTGCTCTCCAGCCCACCCCCCAGCAGGTACTCAGGCATTAGGGAGAAAGGTACAGGCACAAAGGAAAACCAAATCCTCTAAGAGTAGAAACACTGGGACAGGCAGAGTTCAGGAGACATTTATCTACATACACACACACACACACACAAAACGTTCTTTTTTTCATATTCTAGAAAAGAAATCCTATAAAAGTCTTCAAGAATAGGGATGATTACTTCAAAGTGTCATGCAGGAAATTTAAAACAATGATCACATTTAGCATTGGAAGTTGGCTGCTGTTGTGATCATTTAGATTCTCATTGCATAATTATCTGCATATTTTGTCTAAATAAAGCTTACCCTGCTGTGATCAGCCATTCCAAGGAGGATAACACTTTGGATCTCTTATTTGAAAAATATGCTTTTCAACATGGGAGCCGCGCGGGGTCGGGGCAGGTGGAAGGGAGCGCCCAGGGCGTGGGGGGAGTGCAGTGGGGGGCCGGTCGGAGGAGGGCAGGCGGCGGTGTCCTGGAGAGGGGGACGGGAGCGCAGGGTGGGGCCGCTAGGGGGGTTGGTCGTCCGGTCTCAGCTGGCCCACACCCTCCCACACCCCGTCCCCCCCAACCCGTGGATGCTACATCACAAGGAGTAGGAGGGCCGCTGGGGTGAGCCTTGAAGCCTTGGGGGTGGGCCCGGGTGGAGCCGCCGCAGGTGCAGATCTTGGTGGTAGAAGCAAATATTCAAACAAGAGCTTTGAAGGCCGAAGTGGAGAAGGGTTCCCTGTGAACAGCAGTTGAACATGGGTCAGTTGGTCCTGAGAGATGGGCGAGTGCCATTCCGAAGGGACGGAAATGGCCTCCGTTCCCTCAGCCGATCTAAAGGGAGTCCGTTTCAGATCCCCGAATCCGGAGTGGCAGAGATGATCCCTGGGAGGCGTCCAGTGCGGTGACGCAACTGATCCCGGAGAAGCTGGCGGGAGCCTCGGGGAGAGTTCTCTTTTCTTTGTGAAGGGCAGGGTGCCCCGGAATGGGTTGCCCCGAGAGAGGGGCCGTGCCTTGGAAAGCGTCGCGGTTCTGGCAGCGTCTGGTGAGCTCTCGCTGGCCCTTGAAAATCCAGGGGAGAGGGTGTAAATCTCACGCCAGCTGTACCCATATCCGCAGCAGGTCTCCAAGGTGAACAGCCTGTGGCATGTTGGAACAATGCAGGTAAGGGATAAGGACTGGCTCCAAGGGCTGCGTTGATCCCGATCTGGTGGGGCACGACCAGTCGCCACTGCCCTCCCCCACGCCCAGGCGCTCCCTTCCCCGTGGTCCTCCCTTCCCCCACCCCGACCCCCACGGCTCCCTCCCTCCGTCTCCCCTTCCTCCCTCCGTCTCCCCTTCGCGGCCTCCCTGCCCCTTTCCCGGGCGTGGGGTGTGGGCACAGGGAGAGGGTGGGGTTGCGGGCCCCCTCCCCCGGTGGAGGAGAAGGGTCAGTACCCCGCGGGGAGGGGGCCCGGGCATGGGGGGGCGGCGGCAGCGGCGACTCTGGACGTGAGCCGGGTCTTCCTGTGGATCGCCCCCGCTGCACGGGCATCACGGCCACTCCCGTGGAGCCCGGTGGGCATCAGCGCGCCCTGACGCATTGTGCGTGCCCGTGGGTGGAGCAGCCTGGCGGCAGGGGGCATCTGGGGTCCAGCCCCCCTTCTTCCCCTCCCGCCCCTGTTGGCACGCCGGTCTCCCCCCACCGGGTCTGCGCTTCCACGTGCTTCCAGGCCTTGGCCGACTTAGAACTGGTGCCGACCAGGGGAATCCGACTGTTTAATTAAAACAATGCACAGCGAAGGCCGGCAGCGGGTGTTGACGCGACCTGATTTCTTTCTTTTTTTTTTTTCCTTTTTGTCTTTTTCCGTGTCCGGCAACGGATCGCAACCCTCAGTGTAGCGCCCGTACCAGACCGGGACCGGCAACGGGATCGCAACCCTCAGTGTTGCTCCCACACCTCGCTCAGCCAGTGAGCGGGAAGCGGTCTGTATGTGGGATCCGAACCCTCGGCGGGAGGGCCACTGCGCTCACAAGTGGTGCACTGTAGCAGTGCGCCACCAGGCCGGCCCTACGCGACCTGATTTCTGCCCAGTGCTCTGAATGTCAAAGTGAAGAAATTCAGTGACGCGCGGGTACACCGTGGGAGTAACTATGACTCTCCTAGGGTAGCCCAATGCCTCCTCATCTAATTAGTGACGCGCATGAACGGATGAACGAGATTCCCACTGTCCCCACCTACTATCCAGCGAAAGCACAGCCAAGGGAACGGGCTGGGCGGAATCAGCAGGGAAAGAAGACCCTGTGGAGCTTGTGGAATCAGCGGGGAAAGAAGACCCTGTGGAGCTTGACTCTAGTCTGGCAGGCGAGGAGACAGGACAGGTGTAGAATGAGTGGGAGGCCCCTGCGCCCTCCCCGTTTCCCGTGAGGGGGCGTGGTGGGGTGCTCGGGCCTTGCTGCTGCGGTGCAGTAGCACTGCTCTTATTCTGCTTCACTGACCTGGTGAGATGGGGGGGCGAGCCCCGAAGTGCTCTCGCCTCTGGTGCTAAAACCACCACCACAGCCAGGCACGACCTGCTCTGGGGACAGTGCCAGGTGGGGAATTTGACTGGGGCGGTACAGGGAGGACAGAAACCTGCCGTGGAGCAGAAGGGCAAAAGCTTGCTTGAGGCCCGACCCCATGGCTCACTCGGGAGAGTGCGGCGCTGGAAGCGCAGTGGCGCTCCCCCCACCGGTTCGGATCCTATATAGGGATGACCCGTGCGCTCATTGGCTGAGCACGGTCACAAAAAAGGACAACAACAACAAAAAAGCTCGCTTGATCTTGCTTTTCAGTACGAATACAGGCGTGAAGGCGGGGCCTCACGATCCTTCTGACCTTTGGGGTTTTAAGCAGGAGGTGTCAGAAAAGTTACCACAGGGATAACTGGCTTGGGGCGGCCCAGCGTTCATAGCGATGTCCGCTCTTCCTATCATTGTGAAGCAGAATTCACCAGGCGCTGGATTGTTCACCCACTAATAGGGACCGCGAGCTGGGTTTAGACCGTGGTGAGATGGGTTAGTGTTACCCTACTGATGATGAGTTGTTGCCATGGTAATCCTGCTCACCAGGAGAGGAACCGCAGGTTCAGACATTTGGTGTATGTGCTTGGCTGAGGAGCCCGTGGGGCGAAGCTACCATCTGTGGGATTATGACTGAACGCCTCTAAGTCAGAATCCTGCCCAGGCCGAACGATAGGGCAGCACCATGGGGGCCTTGGTTGGCCTCAGATGGCCTTGGATAGCCGGTACTGTCCCCACAGGTGGGCTGCTGTGCCTGTGTTACATGCCCCGCCATGCGCTGGGACCGGCCGGGTGCGGAGTACCCCTCGTCCTGGGAAACGGGGAGCCAGCAGGAAAGGCGGGCCACCCCCTCGGCCATCACGCAACGCACATTCATGGGGAACCTGATGCTAAACCCTTGGTAGATGACCTGCTTCTGGGTCGGGGTTTCGTAGGCAGAGCAGCCCCCTTGCTGCGATCTATTGAGAGTCGGCCCTCCACACAAGGGTCTGTGTACAATAACCTTAACGCTGAGTTTGTTCGTTGCACGACCATCTTATATTGAGCTCATCATTGCTCCCTTCCAATTAACCAAAGGCCACTTCAAATGGCGTTTCCCACACATGTTCACATCGACAGAGGTGAGATCGTCCTTGCGGTGCTTTGCTTTGTTGAGTTCCACCGAATTCTTACTGTTAAAGCCTTGCGTGAGGATCTTTCACACACATGTCCATGAATCGACCTGCTTCTGGGTCGGGGTTTCCTAGGCAGAGCAGCCCCCTTGCTGCGATCTATTGAGAGTCGGCCCTCCACACAAGGGTCTGTGTACAATAACCTTAACGCTAAGTTTGTTCGTTGCACGACCATCTTATATTGAGCTCATCATTGCTCCCTTCCAATTAACCAAAGGCCACTTCAAATGGCGTTTCCCACACATGTTCACATCGACAGAGGTGAGATCGTCCTTGCGGTGCTTTGCTTTGTTGAGTTCCACCGAATTCTTACTGTTAAAGCCTTGCGTGAGGATCTTTCACACACATGTCCATGAATGTTCCTTTATGGGGTTTTCAATGCTTTTTCCTTTCTCGTGCAGAACAAGACTTTCTGAGTTATCTTTGAAGCGTGTGTTGGGGTGATTGATTTCACTTAGGACGAATGTTCCTTTATGGGGTTTTCAATGCTTTTTCCTTTCTCGTTCAGAACAAGACTTTCTGAGTTATCTTTGAAGCGTGTGTTGGGGTGATTGATTTCACTTAGGAACACTGCGTTTTGAATCAAGAACCTTCCGTGAGTATGTATCTCAGAGTTTACTACGAATCCTCCCTGATTGGGCAGCTGAGGTGATTGTACTGGTGTTTTCCAGGACTGGTTACAAACAGGAATTTCCTCAGCCCTTAACAGAGTTCTACATTGTGATGCTTTGCTTCACTCCGATAAGCTCATTTCTGACTTGGAAACCGTGCGTGACTGTCTTCCACAGAGATCTTGAAAGAATCTTCTCTTACCATATGCCCAATGCTGCTTTTAAAGTTGTTTCTAGAAACCAGCTCCAAACGAGAACTTCTTCCAAATATGTGCGATGTCTACAATGTCGTGCCTTGTTTCACTTGGCAAAGTTTAATTGTGTCAGTCACACCTGTTCTGAAAGCTCTGAGAGAGACTTTCAGGAATGCCCACTTAGCATTGTAAGCACCATGCTGATGCTTACAATTGTATTTTCCCATGCACATTCCCAACAAGAATTTGAGGAACTTATATATGGATTCTTCATTGTGGTGCTTTGTTTCCTTACTTTACCTGAATTCCCGATGAGGAACCTTCTCTGAGTATCCTTCACAGTGATTTCCACTAGGGTCCCCTAGTGATGAAGTGAATTCTTGTCTAATGGTGAGCCGCCATGGACCCAGGGACCCTTCTGGGAAGGGGATGGCGCTGGAGGTAAGAGGATGGCCCCAGAGAGATCCTGGGGTTTTGTTTGGGAGTGAAATCCCGAGGTTTCAGAGGGCCCTGCAGGTTCCCAAGGAGAGCTG